TGGAAGAGCGTTTATAAGTAATTCCACATATTTCGTTACCTTAAAAATTTTATTAATAAATCTGGATTCACAGAAAGATAACAATTCAGACAGAGAGATATATAACGTCAAGCTTAATGGGTGGGAAAAGCTGTAATAGCTCTTCGAAATGAGATAAAACACTTAAGTATAATAAGAATCATCCAAGATTTTTCTGAATTACGAGGTTGTGAAAGTAGTACTTTGTTTCAGCTTGTAGGGTGTTTCTTAACCACAGAATCGTTTACTTCTGGGTTACGTTTTATGCAGCTTTCGCTTATTGTGAACCCGAATATTTTTAATATTTAATATTTGTAAAAGATTTTTTTTTAATTAATGAAGGGAGAAGAAACAGATATTTGAGCATATTCAACAGTTAGCTAACAATTCTCAGAATAAATTGTTGAAGTGCATTTTACCAATGGTTCTTTTAAAAAAAAATTATTACATCATATCCATATTTTTATGCAATTTTTCCCGATTGTAATGAACAGTGGTCTTTAAATTGATTTCCACTGAATCCTGGAGCTCTCCTAGGTTTACCCATGGGCTCCATGAGTCGACTACTACGATAAATCAGAAGGTTTGCAAAGAATAAGGGGGAACAACTTTTCGACATATCAACAGATTAGCCATTAAAATCAAAATTTTAGCAAAAACAGCTCCTAAATTTTAGGCTGCAAATTCATGTAGGAAGCTCAGTGGATGAGTGGTTAGTGCATCACGCTTCCCCACCACAGGTCCGAGGATCAAATCCCGGACTGAGTAAGGTTGACTCAATCTTTCATCTCTTCAATGAGTCGATAAATGTGAATTTCACACTGGTGGTTTCGCGTCAGACTGACCACCTGACCGGAACATCTGCTCATGCAACTCAGGGTCCAAGGTCGCGTGTACTGAGTTGGGCAAAGTAGACCTTGTCCCTCATGGCACTGAGTTAAGTTAAATTCATATAGAATACACAGAAGCTTCTCACATATCTGTAAACATTATAATGTCATTCGGAACTATTTGTTTTTAAGTGAAAAATGTTTCTCATAGTATGTGGCAATAAAAACAAAATAAAAAAACTGATAATCCAGTGTTTCTCAAACTGTGGGGCGCGCCCCTCTAAGGGGGCATGACAAGCCTACAAGGTGGGGGGGAGGCGAGCATACTTAGAAGTCGAAAATAAAAGATTTAAAAAATTACAAATTTACTGAAAGGTAGCAAAACAAAATACATTCTGATATAATGAAAAAGTAAAATACACATTTACACTGATTTAATATACTTACTTATAAATGTATTAGTACTTTACAATGTATTTGTGTGATAACTAATCCCTCAATACTAATTTAAGAACAAGTTTAACAATTACATTTGACTCCAATAGGCTTGTCATATGCAATATTATACACAAAATTTTCAATACTTATCTTGATAACTCCTACAATTTATGATTAAAATCATATTGTAGCTTTAGCGTCCAAGTACATTATTATTGCATTCAATACGTTGTTATTGTATGAAGGGGGGCGCGAGGAAAATTATGATAGAAAATTGGGTCGCCAATATTGAAAGTTTGAGAAGCACTGGATTAAGCACATAGAATATGAAATGCAACTGCAGATAACTTCTATAGACGTAGACTTCGAAAGTTTGTGTTAAAAAATGTAAGCACATATCCAAGTTACTAAATATAAAGCAAGGGTAAGTGACACTCAGAGCATAAAATAATGTTATTTATGAGTAAATTACATAAATCCTATTATCCTTCCAAGTTATCGAGTGCCGAGTTTTCGGGACTCTTCTACTTCACCCATTTAAAATAAGTAAAAAATAAAGGAAACTTGGGCATTAGACTTTAGTTCATTTGATCATGAAGACATCCTGGAGTCCCTTCAAACGAACTCTCTGCATATCGTGTTGATGAATCTCTCATTAGCTGAGAAAAACTAACTTAAAAATTATAGGAAATAGAAGAAAATGTTCAGACAGAAAAAAAAACTTCTCGTTGAATAATCTTGAAGAATTATTCAATGTAGTTGTTGAAGAGCATGTGACCCATTGAAAACAATTATGCAAATAAAAAAGGAGCCTTTGAAAAAAGCCAAAATTAAAAAAATGATATTCTGTGTTATATAACATGATGTACAAAAGAAAAAAAGTTTCAAACTAAAAATAATATTTTTCATTTTGTAAAACTTTATTCATAAAAGTGTTCCATTATTTTTATTGTCCATCCTTTTATTATTTTTCATTACTTTTAGGCGAATAAACAGTTATTTTTGCTTTAACAAAGTATAATAGGAATGAATTAATTATTTTCCTATAAAAATAATGTTTCATTTGGAAAAGATTTATTTATACTGCTGTACTTTCGAGGAACCCATTAACAGTACTAAGGCAGGTATATTCCCGCATTTGTTCAATGCACAATGTAAATACACATGTTTTTAAATTTTGTAGAACAGAAATAGACAAATTTGAAATCAAGATTTAAAAAATAATCATTCAAGTAAATTTTATGAAATAAATTACCACACTGTTTCAAGGGTAATTTATGTCTTGTTGCATTTCTAATGTAAGTTTTCAAAAATGTCTCATTACACATTCACCTAACACTTAACATTTTCAAGGAGAAATGAATACTATCTAATTAAAAGATATGATTATATCGTCAGCTTTCACATCCAATTATATGAACGATAACATTAAAGAAAATAAATTTTCATTCAATTAGAATGTATTTTCCACCCCAATTAGTTTAAGCATGTTAATATCTAAAAGCACAAAGAAGTTGCTTATGATGTAATGTTATTATAATGAAGAGTTAATCACAGTAGAGCATTATCTAATCCAAAAGGCATTTATTACTTGACTTGACAGGATTTATTTAAACGTACTGTAAATGCCAGAGCTATACATATATATATGTACACACACACATGTATATATATATATATATATCATATAACGAAATTTCACAATTAACCAACACCCTGAAATTATTACAAACCAACTTTTCGCTTCCTAAATTTTTTACAGAATATTAAGTCTTACAATGAGGCTCAGAAATATGAATTAGTTCAATTTTCTTCGTTGTAGAATTAAATCATACATCATTAAGCTGAATTACAATTTAAAAAAATACTTATTATAGTTCAATAAAAAAATTTTATTTTTTTAATTCCTTGATATACACAAATATATATTTGTAGATTTATTCGTGTTTGTATATATAATGTAAATTCATGTACACATACTCACATATATATGCGTGTTATTTATTTATTGTATATTAAACTTTAACTGTCCTTCAAATTTATGTGTGGATTTTAAATTTGAATCAGTTGTGATATATATTTGAAGGCATTCTGATATATTTTGTAGCACTCGAAGGAATTTAACATAATTTCTGAATTTAAAGAGAATATACTGCTATAAATTTAAAGAGTGCTGCATTATCAGTGAAGCATTATTTTCCAAAATCAAATTTAATCAAAAAACCTTATCATTTAAATTGCATTTGTTTTGATTTCATTAATTAAATGAATATTTCAGGTTTAATTTTGAGAAATGAAAATATGAACCGAATGAAATGAGAAATCAATTTATTATTTCAGATTAAAAATATTAACTTGAATTTCAGAAAAGAAAAATAATGTATTAATTTGAAAATAAATAGATTATTATAAACAAATTTTCCCAAAATTAAAATGATCGCAAAATGTTGTTTCGCTTATGGTTGTGGTTGATAACTTGTTTAATTTTTTTAAAAATTAATTAAAAAAATAAACGTTCAAATTTACTAATTTAAATATTGCACAAAGTCTCCAAAAGATGGCAGCACGTTTCTAGGCAACCCCAATGTAGCATTCTGAGAAAATTCTTTAGCCATTATATTTTTAAGAAAATATCTTTAATAGATTTCTATACAATTTTTTGTTTATTTTCATAAACTGATTTCGCTTTTCAACACCAAATCTTTTCTAATACTTATAAAAAAAAAGATCTGTTGAATCTGAGAACGATAAAATTTTCATTATTATGAACGTGATTAAATGTAACTTGATCTAGAGAATAAAATAATGAACTTATTTTTTTATATTTGAATAACGCAAATATATATATATATATATATATAAACCCAATAGAAATGAAAAGGAAAAATAACTTTCCTTTTTGATGTATAACATTTTTATATATCCCCTCTCCTCTCCCTTTCTTTCTTCTTTTGTTTAAAAACAATTTTCTCCTCTCTTTTCTTTATATTTCTTTCTTATTTTTTTAAGGACAACTATTTGAATAATTATTTATTATTTTTTTTTACTCACATTTGTATCTAAATCATTAAGTGCAACTCATTCTCCTATATAATAACTACTTCGCATCGATATTCATTACACTCACAAAAAGTACATTAGAAGTTCATTGAAAGTGCAATGAATACCGATATAAAGTATGTGATTATTTGGACTCTTAAGCATTTAAAATAAATGTAGCTAAATTTTATTAATATTCTCAGTCTTGAAGAATTAAACCGTTTCATATGATTGAAAAATATATCGATATTTCGATAGCAATACAGAATTGCCGAAAAATAGATGAAAAAAACAACGAAATCATTAGATTTTCCTGCTTTTTTGTTGTATCATCTGCATTGTATCCAGTGGCGTAAAGCGTACACCCCCGCATCACGGGGGACCCCAGGGCTCTAGGGAGGGGGCAAAACCTGACTTCCTACAAGTACCTACCCTTTGTAAAATCAAACTTGGGAGCCCAAACCCTGACTTTGTACGAGGGCCCAAATGTGCTTCGTTACGCCACACTGATTTTGTATCACACAGTTCTAATAACGTGCGCACTTTATATATATATATATATATATATATATATTGCTTTTCTCGCGCTCTAATAAATATTTTCTTATACTCCAATCATGTATTTATTACTAAGAAGCCCATTCTTAGCGTCATTTTAAATTACCAAAATAACTTCGCAGTCGGTAGGATTCGAACCTAGGAATGGATTTCAAGTCCATCGCCTTAACCACTCGGCCACGACTGCTTACGATGAATTGATAATTTTTAACACAGCAGAATATCTTTCACTCCTCCGCTACCCTCATATGTTGATCGATTTTTCAGTGAGTGACACTGTATTTAGAAGTAATATAATGGCTTCTAGCGAAAAGCTTTATAATTTTGAACCTAGGTCAAGTGTCGAGGATAGTACCCTACACTCTAAATGCGGGGTGGGCATTAAGTCGATCGTGATCTACCGGTGGACCGCCAAATCATTTTGGGGTGACCGCCTTCACTAAGATCTAATATATATTGCATCATACGAAGGTCTAGAACAGCGATATTGAACCTGCGGACCGCATGTGGCCCGCCGAGCCTTTCTAAGTGGCCGGGTCTGGCCTAAAAGTGGTCCCATACACTGAGATTTTTAATTTTTAACATAAAAGATTACGCCTTTGCATTTTGGTCAACATGTTTTTTAAATGTAATCCCCTCCCAGAAAAATAGACTGCAAAAGCCACTGAATGAAACATATTGCTCTTTTCCTAAAAAATCTGGCTTAGAATCTCTTAAGTAAAAAAAATTATTTTTAGTGAATTTCCAATTACAAAGAGGAACCCAATTATGAGCTTTTTAAACTGGGTTATTTTTTAAGAGGGCCACTGATAAGATAGCACATTTTTTAGCTTGTACATTTAAATAATTAATATAATGTAATACAGAATAAGCAAATAAAATGGTTAGATAAATCTATACGCCATGCAAAGCAATAAACAAAGTAATTTGAATGCTGTACATTCGAAGAGATTCTGAGATGCATTTTACATAAAATTAACTCATTTTTGAAGTCAAAAATAAATATATATTTCCTTTAAATATAAAAACTAATATATTTGAAATTCAAGGATTTTTTTAAATTTTTTTATTAATATTTATAATAAAATTCAGTCATAAATAAAATTCTAATAGAATAAAGGTAAATTATACATATATATATATATATATATATATATATGAATCATGAAAATTCAATTAAGTAAAAAAATTATATTTTTTGAAAAGCCTATATATATATATATTTCTTTTTATACTTTATAAATACAAATTAAGTTAATGAAATCTTGTTTCACACAAGAAAAATTTCGATGTATTGATTTCCGTAAAATCTTTTTGGTTTTTGTTCATTACAACGAATAACCAAAAAATAAAAAACTACATCCCTATTTTTATACATTTCATTACTATTCTGCAAAAAATGAAGCTTTCGTTAAGTGCTTTTTATGCACTTTTCTGAAAATTTTTGGACATAATTTTGAAATTCCTATTACTGCCTTTTGAAAGTTTTAAATATTTTCATTAGTTAGACTGTTATTAGAAGATTTAAAAAACATATTTCAATGTCTGAAGAATATTTGGGAACCATTAATATAAAAGTCTTACGGAATTTTATATTTGCATGGATTTTAATTAAATAGTGCTTCAGTGTAATGGATTTTAATTAAAGTGCTGTGAATTCATGTATAAGAATTTAAATTGTTTACATGCATTCACAGAGTTTTTAAAAAAACATATTTTCCATTAATTGGAAATTAATTTAAAACTATCGAGGATTAAAATCATAATAGTTTGCTTGTTAGAGAGAGAGAGAGATGTTGTTTATAGTTTATTATGAAGCCACTGATCACATATTTTTAATAACACCTCTTTTTAATAGACTTTCCTCAAAAGTTTGGGTTGGTATCAGAAAAACATGTCAGCGTATTTGAAAGAAAAATTTACATCGAGGGAAAATAACAAATTAACTGGAGGAGGGGGGGGGGCCAGGATTTAACTTTTTATTCTTTGCATTAAAAATCTTTATTTTTTAAGCTTTTGCAAAATTTAATTAATTAGGTATTAAAGGATATCAATAAAAAAGAAATGTAATGTATAGCCTCCGTACTCGTAATAGTTTTGGAAGTTATAAGACCGAATTTTTAAATAATTTCTTTAAATTCCTTTGAATAGAAAGAAGGGCAAAGCTGCAATTGAAATAATAACTTTATAAACAATATTAATAATTTTCGATATCATGTAGCATTGTATTATTAATCTACAGAAAGTTTTAATGCATTTAAAATTGCGCGCGTTTGTGTATTTTATAAAATTAAAAAGTAAAAAATTCTTTCGTGTCAGTTAGAGAGATCAATAATTCACAAAAGGGAAATGGTTTATTCAATCTTATTATATTTTTACTCTCTCTAACCACTTTGAAAAAATAGTAAATAAAATAAGATACCCACATATTATCTCGAATACGGTCAAATTATTTATGTGTTACTTTACATTTAAATGAACACAAAATAATTTTAAATAATTATTTGATCAATTTTTCTGTTACAAATGAATGAATATTCGTCCCTTTGGTTTGATATGATATAAACAAAAAAAAAAAAAAAAAAAAAATGTGATTTAAAATTACAGGAAACCACTTGCTTTCATTGGAAAAGGATGATTTTTTCATAGTTATTTCAACACTCTTTTTATTCTCCCTCAAACATGTCATAAAATATAAAATGTGTTTTGTCACTTCTGTTGAGACCACTGGTGTAGATAGTTCTGATTAGGCCTTGTATCAAAATTATAAAAATTCTTTCGAGGCCCTTTTTTAGGTATGGGAACCCTGTTAATGGGACTGTAGATACACATGTTGGGGCCCCGTATCATTGATACGGCTGATACGGAGGTAACTACTCCCCTGGTTGAGACTCAATTTTCGCTTAAGTTATCTATTGCCCATTTCACTAATGCTCCCGAACTCATGTATCCAAAGAAAAAAATTTTTCCAAAAATGTCTTTAAGAACTGACAGCTAATAGCAGCATTTTTACCAATAAACTGGAGTTTTCCTTCTTTAGAAAGAACTCTAGTTTCACTAATTCTCAATAAATTTCGGTTAAGCAAAACATTTTTTTTTTAAATTTAAAACTTATTGAAATTGACTTTTAATCAAATGTATTGAAAAAGGAAGATAAATTTGTTTACGAATATGAAGAAATGTCATATATTTGAAAAAAATAATATTGTGGAAAATTTATATTGTGTTCCCCCCCCCCCCCTACTTTTGATACCTCAAGCACGAGCTGTTGTTGTTGCTCATCTCCACGTCTTGCCAAGCTGGACCAAGTCCATGATCTCATTCACTCTCAAGAAAATCCAACACCGTTAGAGGGTCTTCATAAAGATCTTGTTTTGATAGCCCCAGGTAGTCAAGAATTTGTTCTTGAGATGCCTAGCAGGCACAGAACACCTAACCCAAGTCGGAAAAACTTTGTTTCGATCCCTAAAAGTCAAAGTTTGGAGGTGGTCACTCCGGAAACGAGTTAGAATAGTTTGTTCCTGCCTGCTGCACCAGTCGTTTAGCCTCATACCAGTGATGAGCAGGAGGAACAGTTGATTGCTTGTTGTTGATGTAAGTGGAGTGCAATTCTGAATAGGCTAGAGGTGCCAAGTTTATAGTGGGTTGAGCTACGCCATCTTTTGCTAGGAAGTCAGCAATCTCATTGCCGGCGATGTTAACGTGCGAAGGAACCCATTGTAGATGGATCTCGCGAGAAGATGAAAGACGTTTTGTTTTCTCCAAAATAACCACTCTTGTGTTATCACCCATCTTATTCCAATTAGAAAGATGTTGAATGGCACTACGACTGTCAGATAATATCTAGATGCTGTTCGAACCAGGAATTGAGAGTGCCTCTTTGAGGCCTGTATTAATAGCAATGAGTTCAATGCGAAAGACAGAGCAACCATCAGAGTTTCTCTGTCTATTTCGACTGGAATAGCTTTGGGACTTAATGTAAATACCACTGCCAGAACGAAAGTGTTCATTCCTTCTGCTATCAGTATATATAAGAAATGCATCATCAGGAATGTTACTAATAACTTCGAGGGCAAGTTGCCTAAGAAATTCAAGCACGAGCTTATTTTGCTTAACGGTTATTCCACCCTGGTGAGATATTTCATCGTCAAAGAAAATTCATTGGCTGAAAAGAAACTTCAAAACTTTCGAAAGACTTTTACATCAACCATAAGCCTAATCAGGATCAGGAAATTAAATCTTTAAAAAAATTTAAAATGTCTTATTTAGCTGTGGTTTGATATAAATGTCACTAAACTCAGAACTTCAACAGAATGTTTCGCGCAAATGTTAAAGCATCAACAAACAAAAAAGTGAAAACACAACTGAAAAATCTTATTAAATACATTTTATTCTCATAAAAAACAAGAAAAAGTTCTTACATTTGGCTCAAACAATTAGAGGAGTTTTAAGAAGCTCCTTTTATTGTTGCTGGTTTTTCATATAGTGTAAAGTCATATTTAGAGAATTCAAAATATTGCCATTGTAGTAAAGTGTTTATTATTTTTCTGAAAAATGGAATCTTCTTTATTTTATATACAGAACATTTTCAGAAAAGCTCCATGATAAAACTTACAAATTTAATTATAGTTGCATTTTAAGGTATCCGACTACGTTTGGAATCGGAATTTTGCAAAAGCGTATAAATGGATAATAATTATGATATTTAGTGTCACTTAGATTAGAAAATGTATATAAAATTGTTTTAAAATATTATTACAATAAAAAATTATTTAAGTACAATATTTTGACAAAAAATGAACATAAAATGACCCATTTTCAAAATATTCTACTTTTGTGAAAAATGCTTCTATTTTAATAATATTTTGCCTATATATAGCACAGACCTGTATATAGCTCAACTAGAATTTTCAAAATATATAACTTAGAAGTGGGTTTATCCATGTTTTACTTATGACAACAGAGGGGAGAAATTTTAAGAAAAAAATGCCGATAATTATTTTAATGGTTTGTAACTATGAAAAGAATGTGAATTTTTCAAAAAAAAAAAAAAATAGTTCAGACTCTCTGGAGAAGTCTTTACTTTATATAAGCACACACACACACACAAAATATTATTATTTTAGAAGCATTTTTTATAAAAGGAGAACATTTTGAAACAAGGTCATTCTAAGTTAATTTTTTGCC